AGTAGTAGTAGTAGTAGTAGTAGTCGTAGTAGTAGTAGTAGTAGTAGTAGTAGTAGTAGTAGTAGTAGTAGTAGTAGTAGTAGTAGTAGTAGTAGTCGTAGTCGTAGTAGGAGTAGTAGTAGTAGTAGTAGTAGTAGTAGTAGTAGTAGTAGTAGTAGTAGGAGTAGTAGTAGTAGTAGTAGCAGTAGTAGTAGTAGTAGTAGTACTACTAGTCGTAGTAGTAGTAGTAGTAGTAGTAGTAGTAGTAGTAGTAGTAGTAGTAGTCGTAGTAGTAGTCGTCGACGTCGTCGTAGTAGTAGTAGTTGTAGTAGTAGTAGTAGTAGTAGTGGTAGTAGTAGTACTAGTAGTAGTAGTAGTAGTAGTAGTAGTAGTAGTAGTAGTCGTAGTAGTAGTAGTAGTAGTAGTAGTAGCAGTAGTAGTACGCCTTCTCCACCCACCAATCAAGGAATAAGGGCGCCCGACACCGAGCCAGGCGCAACGGGTGTCTGGTTCTGCCGCGGCTCGGCACCCGATGTGGGCCGACAATACGCGGCGGGCCTGGGAGTCTGGGACTGGTTCGACGGTAGGAAGTCTCCAGTGGGCTTGCAAAAAACAAACAAAAGGAAGCGAGCTGACAGCTTCTTCTCTTGCCTCTTCGCGAGACTGGCGGACAGTCATAGAAGACAAGACCCAAGTATGGCTTCCCTGAGCCTGCCCTGGTACTCTAGTGTTACAATTCAGACTGACCAGGAAAAGCGCCCCGGTAAGACGGGCTATCATCTAGTCCTTCTTCCGTTGTTGCCTTGGCGAAAGCCTGGGCTTCTGCAGGTGCGATGGTGGAATGGCCGGCCCAAAATGAGCTTGGGCACACTTGCTCTGCTGCAAGAGCCGCACGCTTCTGTGGAGCGGCACCAGACCCACGAGTAGATGGAGCACCCACGCGAGAAGAGAGATCACCCGTCTCGACAACCATGGCTGTGAGAGCGGAACGGGGAAGCGAACGAGGTGGACGAGGGGTCGGGCGGTCGAGTGCTGGAAGACTGAGACCTGCTGCCGACAGCTCACCAAGCTGACCAAGGGCCTTGGCAATCTGTGGTGCTCTGAGCTGACTTGGGTACGTGCTCGTCAAAGGTGCCCCTAACGACTGGCAAATCACTGGGTAGAGACACTGCAACTTCAACACGTGGATCTGGATCTGGGAGCGCGTCCAGACGATCCTGTCACAGCTTGTGAACGGACTCCAATCGATCACGCTTGGCTGCAAGAGTAGATTTCCGTTCCAACATCTCTGAACTGTCCTCTTCAAGCTGCTCCAGATTCTCCTCAGCTCTCTGCACCCCCTCTGGAGGCCCAACGGATCCCCTGAGACAGGCACGCCCGCTGCTGGAGAAGAGAGGGCATGGTCGTCTTCTTGTCACGGGCTGACGCAAGCTCGGACTGAGCGCGGTCAAGTTCACGGGGGTACTGGGCGGTGGTGGCCAGATTCCGAAGGCTATCAAGGTAGGACTGCTTCGTTCTAATAAGAGAGTCAGCTTCAGCGACTGTAGCCGCTGGCTCATCGTCTCCTTCCACTTCGTTAGTGTAGCGAGCAGCGAGCGGACCTTCATTCTCATGTCCGAAATTCTCATCAGGCACGCCATCTCCAAACAAGGCACGGGCTTCGTCATCAATGGGGGCCTCAACACGCTCCTCAAGCGTTCTGGTGTTCTTCCGACTAGGCGAGACACGACGACGAGCATCAGCGTTCGCAGGTGGAGCCAACCCACCCGTGGCGTCGGCCGCCCCTGTCTGATTTCTCCTGCTTGCCCCTGCCCTTGCCCTTGCACTTTCCCTTGCCCATTCTCCGTCCACGAGAGGCATCCTCCTGCGGCGTCGGCAACTCCTGTCTTGATGGGGCCACGTCCAGGGAACTACGTCTTGTACATCAGACACGTCTTGCGGGGATTGGACAGGTGGATCCAAGAAACGGTACCTGCATCGCAGCAGGCATTGAAGACAAGATAAGGCATGGGACGCGTGGAGGTCCTATGCCTCAAAGGGGTTTTCTGATCCAGACTCT